ATGCTGTTACCACAGCAAACCCGGTGATCTATCCAGACAGACACAGGCCAGTGGACTCACCAATCTTCTGCATGTGGCAGTGTTGTCTTTCCATTTCACCTGGCCTGAGGGAGACAGAAGCTACATTCGCCACCAAGTCTCAGAGGCTTAAAGCAACAGAGGTTTATTTCTTGTTCACACTGCATATTCATTTATCTTCTTTATGTTGTCCTCACTGGGGGGACCCATAGTGATTAGTGGGAACACTCCTGGTGGCTTGGACAGAGGGACAGAGAGCATGATGATCCCTGTTTCCTGCCATTGAGTCCTGGTGGCCTTTAAGATGCCTATGGGAAGGGGATTAGGCTCCTGCTGCCTGTCTCTGCCCTGCCTTGTCAGTCCTTGGACATTTTGCATGTTCCATCCCCTATCTGGATGTGGCCTGTAGGGGCAGCCACCTTTCCTAGAAGCAGGAGCAGGTAGCGCTACCCAGGCAGGCCTGGTCCTGATTCAGGGATTGAGCTTGCAGTCGTAGGGGTGTGGAAAGCAGTGGTGGTGAGGTGACTGAAGGTGGACTCCCACTGGGGATGGGATTGAGTGTGGGGCCAGATCCCTGGTCTGTAGAAGGGAGTAGGAACCCTCTGTTAGTTGCGTTTTCCCCCTCAGGCCACCTTAGCAGGATTTTAAGGAGTCATTCACACTGTGGCCCTTGATTTTGTGCCTGGTCACCTGCTTGGTCTCTGGTGATTTCCCTCAGGGCTAGCAGACACTGTTGGAAGTGGTAAGGCCTCAGGTTCTTCCGCCTCATGATTAACTCACTCTCCTTAGGCATATTTCCACCTTTTCCAGGGCCTCCGTTTTTCTACTAGTGGAGTGAGAGGTGGTGGTGGTCTCCAGCAGTGGTCCCACTCTTGGCAGGCCATCAGAGTACCCAGGTTGCTGCGTAGAGTGAAGTTTTGATAGCCTTTGGTCTAGGTGAATGCCAGCGTTTCAGTTTGCTTATCTTCCATTATAGCAGTGTCCTCTCTAACTGGGAATCAGGGAGGTTATTCATAGCATCTCCACATCCATTTTCTCCCTTAACTGCGTATGCTTTTGGTTTAGACAGGGCAAGTGGCCATGTTGGTAGAGCGCAGGCCCTGGCAGGGAGGCAGTGTCCAGTGCCTCTGCCGATTAAACGTGGAGATGTGAAGATGAATGGATGATGGTGAGGCAAGCTTTCAAGTTGCATCTACTTTCTAGTTGAGTGACCTACACAAGTCTTTGATTTTTTTTTTTTCTTCTTGGAAAAAAAAAAGTTGTCAAATTTTCTCATCTGTAAAGTGAGAAGAATCAAGGCTGCCTTTCCTATCTCACTGGGTTGCAGTGAAGCATGAGCACACTGAGAAACAAGATCCAAAGCCCCTGAGTTAGGCCTGACACTGGTGTGAGACAGCTGCCATCTCTGGTGGCACTCAGCAAGTGCTCACCAGCAGCTGATTCTGGAAACCCCACTTCCTCCACTCTTGGGCTTGGTGGGGTTGGGTAGGGTTGGGTGGGGCTGTGGTTTTCTTTTAGGAGGCAGCAGGCCAGGCCTGGAGACCAGAGCTTAAGTGGGCCTGGGCAGGCTGGGGTTGAAACTCTTCACCCCTTGCGGTCTGTTCTGCCTCCCAACTGAGCAGCCAGGGAGAAGGCCTGGAGCCTGTGCCTTTCAGTTAGATAGCTGGAGGAACTGACTCCTCCCTCCTTAGGCTGTGCTGGCCTGAGCTGGGAGCCTGAGAGCTGGGGCAGTTGTCTCTAAAGTGGCTTCTGGGATTCTGGTAAGAGGTGAGCTCCTGGTGCTGCCTCAGAGTCTTTGTGGTTTCCTGGCATTTGGGAGAGCTGGAGTTGGGCTGTCCTGCATGGATAAGGTTTGGGGAGGGACCGGAACAAGGGGCTAGTGAACCTTCTCTGGGTTTTTCCTGCCTGACTATGTGTTCCAGCTGTTGAGGCCTGTGCTCCTATACACTCCACAGCCTTGAGAGGAGTTCGTAGCCGTAACATCCAGGAGAGAGGCCCCAGAGCAGTGGAAGGAAATGTGTCTCTCCCGAATCACTTTTGTTTGTACCCTGAGGTCTGAGTGGTGATCCTGGGGATGCTGTGGGACTCTCAGCAGTAGAAGTGTGTCTGTCCCCAATCTGGGTGCCTGCCAGCTGTGCTCAGGGTCCTCTCCTGTGTCCCTGGGCCAGGCAGACAGGGTGTTTTTCTGGGGCTTGGT